AAGGCTTCCGAGAAGAAATGTGAAATTTCATTATGCCGATCAATGAAAAAGACTGGTTTTCATTTGAAAGTATGAGCACATGTACGTCTGTCCGTTCTTGTCACTGCTCTGTGATGAATTATTTGTTAAATTAATGAAGAATTCACAGTCCAGGAGCTAATCAGTTGTCCTAAAATGGGTCCTCTCCATTTACATACGCAGATAAAATAAACCTACAGCTCAAGGATTCTCCTGTGATGTATTTGAAAACGAGCGTGTGTATGTTGAGCCAAACAGTCACAGATCGTGATTACATGTTTTAATAAAATGATTCTGCGCAGTCTCAAATCTGCACAACAAGAGAACAGTTTGCGCCCTTAAGGAGTGAGGAGTCTACTCATCTCAGATCCCATCTTTGCGACTGAGGGGCACGGTTAAGCTATTTCCTCCCTACCTGTTAAGATAGAAAAATAAAATGACTTCATCAGAGAACTAACCTCTATCGATACAGCAGTCTTAAGTGGCAATGAATCTTTAAACGAATCAAGACAACCTGTCTTCAAAGCTTATCAAAAAGCTGTCAGTTAAGCCATTCTGCAATAGCTAGACGAAATCTGACGAGAAGACAAACATTTTCTCGTTTCTACCACTCCGAATCATCGGCACTTTGTCAATTGGTAGTTGAGTTGGACACTCAAATCCCACCAGCAAACATCAGGAATACTAACAGATTTTCTGTTGCTAATAATTTTCATAACGCGAAGTCAAAAATCTTTGGGCACTTGAGAGGAGAGGAGCTCGAAATAATAGTAAATAAGAAAAGTAGGTTCCAAAGATGTTTATAATAGTTTTTCTTTGCTCTGGAGATAGAAGAAAATTTTGAGTTAAGCGAGCGCAAAACGTAAGAATGGCTTACAGTACGCTCACTTTCATGCAGAGTGCTCCTAATCCGATATACCTGCCTGATGCACACGGACCCTTCCCATAAGCGAACAGGTTCCGAAGTAGACTCGTTCCCTCCAGACTTCAATGGACACTTCCTGTTTGGGTGGACAGGAGGCTTGCGGTATACGCATGCGTTTAGTAAATGAGATCTTGTTTACAAATTACGATGACATCCTTTCACGCCCTGTGGCATTTCAGATTGTACTGTACTCACGCGCTTGCGCACCACTCCTTGCTTTGTTTTCAGGGTAACAGGCTCGCCCCTTTTCAAAGCGTACACGTGTCTTCCTCTCACCACCTCCAGATCAGGTGATATGGGGCCGTTAGACACCAGCGTGCAGGTTATCCCCCTGACGTGTACCTCAAACTTTAGCGAGCATCCCAGATAGTGTATGTTCAGGGTTAACTTCGTTACCCTGGAAGGGAGGGTGGACTTGAAGTGGAGGCCATCGTCTTTTAATCGGAAGCCGCCATAACCGTAGAGAACAGCTTGCAAGAAGCCTCCAGCTCCAGTAATGAAATTCACTGCACCATAGCCGTACCTCCTCTCGGACCATACCTGCAAAATGTTCAAATTTGAAAAATTAACGTTTGAGTTACATTCTAACGTCCTCTAGAGCCTACAATCAAGCAGAGCAGCGGAATACTTACAAAAGGTAAAATCGGGCCTGAAATGCAGTAAAATTCCGGTTAGAGCCCTGGGCTTATGCAACTTCTTAAGGAGTTTTCGGTGGGTTTATAGACAAGGGGAAGGGGTTCCAGGGGGGCCTTTTAACGAGGGAGGGGTATTACCGGAATTTTACGGTAACAAATCTGCGATCTCTGACAGCATTGCCGTTTTATTTATCACGTTAACTTACTAGTTTGTTGGCGGGTAAACGCCAGCCAGTAAGATTTCAGAAGTGGCAGACAGTGGGTAGCATCATTTTAGAAATACTGTAACTGTTGCACAAATGAAAAACTATTGTTATCATCACTTCTCTACAAGGATAGAAGGAAATTCGTTCACACGGTATTGTCCGCTGCGTGCTCAAAGAAACCACTATCCCCAAAGTAACAGTCAGACAGTTACTAACAAAAAAAATTCTTTCGTGGATTGTATCTACAAACCAATACGGTTTACATTAGTTGAATTGTTTTAACAGAAACGTTTGAATCGAAAACGAAGCTGTGGAATCCAAAGCTTCGGGTGAAAATGATTGAGGCAATCGAACGCAGATTTAAGGCCACGAAAACGGAGCGTTTCGAAAACGCTTTTCAAACCGGAGGAATTTGAAAACGCCGGCTTTTCGTTTTCGTGTGGACGGAAAACATTTAGAAAACGATGGCGTCACGTACAATCATCACGTGATTTCCCTGGCCGAGTTTTCCTCAAACACAAATCCAAAATGACCGCTGATTGTTGCGTTTATAAATTCCTCCGGCGCAGTGTGGACGGAAAACATTTAATGCGTTTTCAGAGTGAAAACTCCGTTTTCGAAATCCTCCGGCGTACTGTGAACGGGGCCTAAGAGAAACTAAAGAAATTTCGTAAATTTCACAACGAGTGACAAAGGAACAGACAAATTAGACCAAAATTGGCTCCATTTAAGAACATGCTGTCCCCAGTTGTGGTCGGCGGCTGATGAAACAATCGAGCGGTTGCGAGCAGAGGTGCCCTCTCCTCTCATCAGGTAGGAGGAGAAGGGAACGTCTGTCTCGCAGGGTACTCGCTTCTAGTGTTCAGTCTCTTCTCTTCTAAAACTACAAATTAGGACTTGTTAGAGACAAAAGTAATGGAATACCTTAAAAGGACCTTGGATGTTAGCATAGTTCTTCAAGAAGGACTTTTCTGCTTTCTGTTTTTTACCAGCTTCCAGCCAGCCAATAGCAAACATAGCATGTGTCATGGCAGGGCCGCTAGGATCTGTGCGATTCTCGTAAAATGCTAAGTCATTCAAGCGAACCTGAAGGAACACAAAATAGAAAGTAGTATTCTGTTGAGACATTTGACACCTTAATACAGACAAAGTACACAAATACATCAAAGAAACACTAACTTTTAGATCTCTCATGATCAAACAAAAAATGCCTTAACCAGTTGCAAGTCACATATTATAGAATATGTCGAATTACTCTCGCATTTTGATTGGCTCTTGGTTGTGATCAATCGGAAGGCAGACGCATAGATGAGCTCATTGACATTTTTTTCTCTTTATTACATAACACTGTTCAGTAATTGGCCACTGAAGACGTCAAAATGTTCTTACCACATTTTGACGTCATCTGTGATCAATTTCTGAGCAGACGCACGTCATCATGGAATCTACTTGTTAATCAGAGAATACATCTTGAATGCCAGCAGCAGAACAGAGGTGTTTGGCTCACAGGTGGGAATCCTTTGATGTTTCAAGCCATAACCTGTTACCGGAATTTTGGGGCAACTGAACCCCCCTTAAAGGTACTTGCGAGTTTTAACCCGACAGATGACGTAGCTCTACCGAGATCCGTGACGACTCTCTGATAGGTTGATGAATTCTCAATAGCAAATTTTCACACTGAGGTCTCCGGCGAGAGAAGATATAATGTTGCTAAGACAGACAAACATTTACCCATGATGTTTACCTGCTTGTCCATGTCATACATCAACGGAAAGCCTGTCAGTATCACATCTGCTTGTTTGACCCACACTGTTCGGTCGTAGCCGTCAAACTCCGGATGGTATTTATAGTGACTGTCGAAAGGAATGAACATTTTTTCCGCAATCGTTGACCACAATTCTGGAACCTCTTTGCCCAAGATATCGGCGGCTTCTTTGGCAAAGAGAAGATTTATCTTAGCCACAACGTTAGTGAAAAATGAATTGTTGACCGGATAGTGATACTCATCTGGCGGCATGACGTCATTGATGACGTATCTGTCGTTCTCAGCATCATATTCTACACGGCTTGCCCAGTACTCCGCGGTCTGGTACGCAAGCGGGTAACCAACTTCCCGCAACCAGTAGAAATCCTTGGTAGCCTCCCAGAGCATCTTGGCTGCAAACGCGACGTCACCGGTAATGTGATTCTGATTTTTACCGTACTTTTCCCCAGGGGAAGTCTCCAGGCCAGTATAGGAACTCTCCCAGGGAAACATAGCACCTGATTGAAGAAAAAAGGACTGTGTATGACATTTTGTTGACAGGATAACACTTAGGTTGCAAATCTTACACTATTTATCCATGCATCTAGCACTATAGTTACTTCCTAGGCAAACAGAGAAACAAAACGTGATGAAAGAATTGAACAAAACTGAAATTTGACGCACATAAATTCCGTACAGAAAATATTACACACAACATAAGTTACTTATGATTAATAGCTTAATCTTCTGGAACCTTTTTCCTGGTGCTGATAGTATAAGTCTAGCTTACCCAAAACCATTTTTAGTTAACCTTCTTTCTTTAATCTGGTTAGCAAATCATAGACAGACAGACAGACAAACAGACAGACAGGCTCATGGCTGGATAAATGGATGGATGGATGGATGGATAAATAATGGACAGACAAAATGAACGGATAGATGGGTAGACATTTTGCGCAAAAATTGTCAGGATTTTTTTTTTTTACCTTTATATCCATACTCCTTGGCGATTCTGCGCGCAGCCGGCAACCTGTTCTTACGATATCTCATGGAACTTCTGGCCAAGTCTGGATGAAGCAGGACTAGAGGGGGGTACATCCAAATATCCTGATCCCAGAATGTATGCCCCATGTACTCCTCGCCACCCGGTAGACCCCCGGGGCTTAATCCGTACGGCCAATCATGTCGGGTGGAACTTAGAATGTAGTACATACTACCATACACTGCCTGTGCCATCTCTAGATCACCTTCAATGTCTATCCGACCAGTGTCCCATATTTCTTTCCAAGCTGCTTTGTGCTCTGCAAGCAGCTTTTCTTTCACGCTAGGAAAGAAAAATTAAACATCAAGCCAACGTTTCTAGCGGTCCTCCAAGGCTAGGTGGAATCAATGACAACAAAATTAACCATCCGCCCGCCACTGGTTTCTTCCCCTTTCACCACCTCGCCGGTCAGTTAACTGATGATTTCTTGGTACCGAGTTCTTAACTAGGAAACAGTCGATTTAGATTGTTAGACGCTTTCGCTAAGTAAAAGCTCGAAGAAAATATGTAATAAATTGCATTCTTCGTTTTCCGGCTTTGCTCTAATTCTGCTCGAAGTTTCTATCCTTACCCTTTCGCTGTGGGAGAGCCCTTATGTGTTTTTGACGTCACTGGTGGGTTCATCCGCTTTTAATGAAATTTTCACACCAAAATGGTCTTCTGTTGTTAAGATCTGCTCACGAAAGTATAAAATTGTGAACCCTCTTACACATGATAGAGTTCACCACCCCTGAAAGTTTTGGACCTTTTTTCTACAATAATGTTGGGCTCGTTATTAACTATTCATTAAGAGCTGCGAAATAACGTATAATTTATGGGTATACATAATATATTGAAGATTTTGACTTTTTGGGACGTTTCGGTCTCTCTTTTGAAACCATCGTTTGTTGATAGCTTTCAATGGTTTATCATATATACATATAGGTGGTCTATTGATTAAATTGGAAAAATCCCCGACAATTTAGAGCTAAAAGGGTTAAACGCATGTTCTTAATAAGATCATTTAATCTCAATCTTGAAACGCTCTAAACATAACACACAGGAAGAGATTTCTGTCTTTTGTGTTTGACTGATAGACAGAAAATAGCTGTTAACTTCAAAAAATTCAAAAAACTAAACGACGTGACTGATCTACAAAACTCACAGCATAGCTTCGTCCCATTGATTCAGAGCTTCAACGAGCGGGTTGAACTTCGTGTCCAGGTTTGTCGCTATTGAAGTGATGTAGTACCAGGTCTGCTCCTTTGGGCTGGCTTTGATGGTTAGAGGATTATTGGAATCTGAGTACTTCCATACAATGGCCACGTTTGGGCGCATACTTCCATATTCTTCTGTCTGGTTTACCTGATCAAAGAGAAAGAAAAAAAATTGAAATTGGTTTTCTGTTTGGCCCTGTTTTCGCGCAAGGGCGTTTTCTAAGCTGTTACACAGCCTCACGTTTTAGAACTGCACGTCACGCTGACATGGACCGTGACATGACTGTGACAAGCGGGTAAGGTAACCTTTCACCAGGCTGGAGCAAGACCGAGTAGCAGACTAGATTGGAAAATACCCTTATGAAGACCCTCTCTAGGCTCGGCACGCAATCACGTTCGTGGGGGAGAAGATTGCGTGACAAGCGTGACAAGCCCAAAGAGAGTCCGCGCAGTGGGCTACATGGAAAGAGACAAGGCCTTATCCTCATGTATTTTGTGTCAATCTGTGATAAATGAATATTTTTCGGGATGAAACAAAGGGAAAGGAAACTCTAATGGCAAGAAGCCGGCTTTGTAGTTATCTCAGGAAATCCGAAAGATGATCTCACATGCAAAGCAAAATAAAATCTACATTGAACAATAGAATCGTTTGTACATTGTGTTGCCTGCACTGCTCTGTCACGTCTACAAGTGCCAGAAATAGATCAACATTAAACAATAGTCAATGGATTTGTTTGTCAACCGTGCCATGAACCGGTCACATTTTCGCATTTTTCCAACCGAGATATTATTTTTTGTTACATGAAAACAAAACTATTAGAGATAAACATACCAAGCCAGTGGCGGCGAGTGCTTCACTTCGGTAGGATTCGGTCATGAAGAAATGAATGTCCCTTGTAATATATCCCATGTTTGGAATAAGGCTCATCGAGAAATTCCTGTTCGCATCATTCTTGGCAGTGATTTCCACAACCAAGAGATTCTTTCTGGTCCTGTGCGCGTAGATCCTTTGCTCCACGGTCAAATTCACGGCCTTGAACCATTTGTAGAACACCCCCTCGCTCACGTCCAGCGCGTACGAGGATTCTCCTTTGATGCCATTGATTTTGAAATTGATGGAAGCCGTGGAAGGGATTCGCGCTCGATGAGCGTGCTGATACAAATTTATCGGGTAAATGGGGTACTTCTTGGGGTAAGCTTTGCCACTATAGACCCCAGACACGTGCACGCTATCGCTGTAGATCACTGTTCCAACGTAGCCATTCGCAACAGATGGCATGAAGTTACCATGCTTGCTATAACGTATGCTTGTTCGGCTGTGTTGATCAGGCAGTTCATCTGTGACGAAACGAGTCGGTGTGCCTTCGGCAGAGGAAGAACGGACTATTGATATAGCGCTGACCAACGCAAGACCAAGCAACACGCTGCAACTTAGGTTCATGTACAAGGGTGTCCGCTCAATACAGGTTTCACTGTACACAGTAATCAGTCACTCTATTACAATTACGTCTGGCAGTGTGACTGATATGATAGCACCAGCAGACGATCATTTTCTGTGAATTTTATAGCAGCTACTCCTATAGTTCCGTGGAGGCGCGGTGGCCTCATGGTTAGTGCGCTCGTCCCCGGATCGAGCGGTCCGGTTGTAGCCATGGCCGGGGACACTGTGTTGTGTTCTTCGGCAAGATACTTAGCTCTCACAGTGCCTCTCTCCACCCAGGAGAATAAATGGGGACCGGCGAATTATTGGGGAAACCTAACAAATTGTGGGGGAGTGGCCTGCGATGGACTAGCAACCTATCCAGGGGGAGTAGAA